TAGATAGTGATCTGTATAAGGACCTTTCTGTGTTTTCTTTTTCTAGAACAGTATTTGAAATGCCCAGTAAGTACTTGTTGAATGCCTATATGTGAACCAGAGCTGTGTGTCTGGGACATTAAGTCACAGGCTGTACATGCATCCTTTCCTTGGGATAGTTCTGCCAACTATGAACACTTGGAGACAGAAGCCAGCTTTCTGATCTTGCTCTCTCCTTGTTGGGAGTGAGACATGGTGGTCTTCATTGGAACTATTGGGCACTTTGCTCAGTTTCTTTCATCTGCCCCTCATATGCATCCTGAGAGGTAGGCAATACATCATGACCAAGCCAGAGAAGTTGTGCATGTTCTTAAGAGCACACAGCTTTTGTGGAGGTAGAGGTCCTATTTAAACCCAGAGTGTGTACCCATTCTGTTAGTGCATACCTTTCCACAGAGAGGCTCCTTGCCCTGCTTTGTAATAGGAGGTAATTGAAGAAATTTGGGTGCATGGACCAAAATTAAACACTTTGAAATCAACTTTATGCAGGGAAGTCTGGGTCTCTCTTTAAAGTCTAATTTGTCTTTTTGTCTTTTCAAAGAAAGAGGACAATGACTCTGATGTCAATTTGGGACATAATATGGGTGGAATATTTATTTGCCCATATGTTTCTGAACCATAGGAACACAAAGGCTACTTCACAGCAGGTTTCACAGGTGATGGTCCTTCTCAATATTCTGGTGGATCAGTATTGTCACCTGACTGAGATTTATGCAAGTTGGTTTAACCCTGGGAAAGCTGTCCCCTGGGTGACTTGCTCTTGCCATTGGCATGTGGTGACATATCCCTTCTGTCAGTGGTTGTGAGAATTGAGGGGAGGGTGTTGGAGTCTCATGGTGCTGTGTCCCTGAATTGCTGCATGGAGGAGAGCCAGGACAATACTGGAAACCTTGAATTGGCACTCAAGTAAGGAACTTTTGTTTTTAAACCACTGACACTTTTAGATCTTTGTATTACATAGTGGCAAACGTCATCTTATCGGTTACATCATAAAATGTATTTCTTACTCCCATTTCAAATGGGGGCCACACCCACCTGGATGAGCTGATACCAAGCCTTGTGGGAGGAGAGATAACCTAAAGTAGAGTTCAACTAGAGGCCCAAGGCTCCTCTCCCCCAGTGTCCCTTCTTGTGGGACAGCTGTGATGTATGCACCTGGGGGCAGAAGGCTCAGCAAGCTCTCACTCCACTCTGAGCAGGCCCTGCGGTTAGCAACTCTGCCAGTACCCAGCCACAGTACACTTTCTCTGAATCTCTAACGCTCAGGATTCTGAGAACTCTGCAGCATTGCCACCCCCCTTCGTCACATCACTGGGGAAGTCCATGCATTCACACGCCCAGCAATTTGCCTCTGGATGGATTTTACCATATGGAGTCTGGCCGGCTATTGGACATGGTGGGAGGAAGCCACAGGAGTTTCTGTTATTGTACAAAGCCTGCCACCTTCGGGAGCTTGAGGCACCCCAGACTTTACCATTCTGCTGAGGGGTGGTGCCCTCAGGGACACATCATCAAAGAATGACAAAGAAGCTTAGGAAAGTGCATGGGCTGGTCTTCAAAATGTAGGTAGAGAAGAGGGCTTCCAATTTTAGGCTTCCAGCATCGTCTGTTCTCAACTCCTGCACACTGTTTCTGGGTCATCATTCATGTCCCAGTGGTCCAGCTTGGTGGTTCTGTCCCTCCTCTCAGGGAAAGTACATTGAGTGTCCTAACATATCTCTGCCTTGTCTTCTCATCTAAAGAGATTCATTTGCACATCTGCTGGACCTTCCCCTATACCCTGCTGATTGTGAGCTCTCTGAGGACAGGGATCTGTTATTTTACTGCTTGTCTCCCTGAATTCAGTGCATAATAAATAATAGGACTTAGGACTGCTTCTCAAGAAGCAAAATGCAGAGATTGTGTTGAGTAAAGAGGACAAAGAACTGGGAAAGATACGTGGTCTCAAGATGTTAAGAGTCTAGAGGATGATATCCATAACTGCATAGCTACTCTTCCTCAAATTTCCTTTTGGTTGGTGACTCTGATTTGGGAAGGCTAGTGGTATGCCTTTGCTTTGTTCTGCATATAATCAGTTGAAAGAGTTCATTTCCAAGATGGCATTGTAAGTTATTATTGGCAGTTGGCTCTTTTCCATAGGATCCCCGCCCTTCACCTTTTACAGCTGCTTGGGATTTCCCTGCAGCATGGTGGCCAGATCCCAAAAGGGAGTGTTCTTCGAGACAGGAAGTAGAAGCTGTAGTCTTCCTGAGGCAAGGGACTAGAAAGTCTTAATACATTGTATCCTCAATTTTCTGTAAGTTGAGAAGTCACAAAAGCAACATGCTAGGGGCCCTTGATGGGGGAAGTCTCAGGTTCTGAGGATTATACCTTGAAACAAGGAATAAAGCTTTTTCTGGAAATAAGTGAGCAGCAACACATAGTACAGGGTTTGGATGGAGCCTCTAAACTCTATAGTAGGGGCAAAGCATCCCTAGTCCAGAGTGGCTAGGGACTCTTCTGGTCACCTGGAGAAGCATCCAGTTGGTGAGCACAACAGGCATTGTCCTCCTGGAGCAGCCACAGTAGTACTTCATCTCACATGGGCTTCTGGGACACTGCCTCCTCCTCCTCCCCACTTCATTTGGGTGGGCTGTGATTTTACCCTTGATGGGTAGAACGGGGTAGAGGTGATATTGATGCTATGGGACTGTGTGTTGAGCGGGTCAAGTTACTTCATCTGGCCCCTCTCTTTCTTTACAGGCCACTCTAACATCAAGACTTTAAGGCTGCACAGGCCCTAGACAACAGGACAGTATGACAGGTAATTACATTATACTCTGCCTGAAGCCTTGATCCAAAGCATAATGAATGGCTGGCAGCATTATGGCCTACAGTCTAGGCATTTGTTATGAAGCCAAAGTAACTGGTACTGTGGGAAAAATATACACAACACTGGGACCTCTGGACGCTTCATGTGGATGCATCCAGAGAAGACTAGTGAGTGGGGAACATTCAGATATAAACCAGAGATCAGGCAGGGGTCTTGAGCAGGTGGGCAGAGGCTGAGCACAGGCTGGTGGGGTGGGTAGAGATGGTGGCACACCCTTCCATCTTGAAGGCTCAGAGGACCATCTGCTCCCAGGCAGGGGTAAGCTGGATGCTTAGCATGAGACTCTATGCTGGAATGGGCAGGGGGCTGAGGGAACTAGGGTAGGGGGCTGAGGGGACTGAGGACAGGGCGGTCATGTACAGAGCTGTGGTACTGGGCTTGGGAAGCTGAGTGGCTGTGGATGAGGGCAGAGCTGAGGAGGCAAGAGGTGTCCATGCTGGGCTGAGGACCAAGGATGTGGGTAAGGCAGTAAACAGCCATCTCTGCATTGTGGCCTTGCTGGCTGACCTTTCCTGGAACACCGTGCTGGGGGAGCAGAGGTGACACCACTGTAGCCCATCATCTTCTGTTACATCTTGGTAGACACGTCTCTTCATTCCTCTGGGAGGCATGGGGGCTCCTGTCACTTGGTCACTTGGTCCTGAGCTAATCAGGATGCTGCCATTAAGTTCCCATGGTCCGTTGTGGCCTGGGCATGCTCTGTGGCTGTCATTGAAGGTTTGACCTATCAAGTCTTCAATGAGGGGCTGGCCCGCATACAAGTGTCTATGGGAAAATTATCCTTCCTGGTTGCTGTAAATTCACCTGCAAAAGTTTCTAACATTTACTGAGCAGGAAGTGGGTGAGTCACCTCTGCTTACCACACGGGTGAGGCTGACTCCTGCAGACCACTGTCCCACTGTAAGCCGTTTAGTAGGAGCCCTTCCTGGCTGGCTGGAGGCATCTTCTGGGCTACCATAGCCTTTCATTATTCCTCCAATTTCTTAATATAGAATCATACTATATTCTGTACTTTTACTCTTTCCTGGAATGTGAGGGGGAAATCTGTGTCTCTAGCATCTAATAGCCTTACATTTAGAGGGTGTTTACTTGAGTCTGAGAAGAGTATTGATGGGGGGTGAGCTCTCTGGGAGTGACATTCCTATGCAGAGGCTGCTGGTGACATTCATTCTTAAAAGGCAAAGTTCTGGCTGAGGCAGAGACAAACTACAAAATAAAACTGCAACTGTTCATCGCCCCTCCCATAAGGCATTGTGGGCCATGGAAGCTGGCACTTTAATGTCCTGGAGTCCAAAGTCACATGCGAAGGTATGGCCCTGTCTCTTCCATAGAACTCTGCTTCTCCTCTGTCAGCAGAGTAAGGGAAGGAGCATCTTGTGTACCCTCATGTGAGGGCTAGGGCCCAGCCTGGCAGCCCTGGCTGCCATCCTCTCCCTTGGGGTTCACATTACTTGTGGTGAACCTCCAGGTGGAGAGGTGCAGCTGAACAGGAGGAAATTCCCAAGCTTCTGGTCAGTTGGGGTGTGGATGAGCACTTAGTGGGCTTGTGTGGCTAGGGTAGCTGAGGTTACCATCACTAGCCTGAACCATCTGAAAAGTGCTCCAGGCCCTCACTTTTGTACTAGCAGAGCCTGCAGGGAAGACAGGAGGGAAAGCCCTTTGTGGCAGGGTCTGGGACCCATATAGAGGTTGAAAATGTCTAGGGATACCTTCCCAGGTGTCTTCTCTGTCCACCCATCCCACAGCCTTTCACCAAAGAAAGGCAGCATTATGAGTATAAATGAGGCTTCCAGAGCAAACCTCGGACGCGGTGCTCTATCTCCAGGGGCTTTCCAAGAACCAGTGATCATCCCTGAAATTGCTCTGCTTCATGGTCCAGCTGTGCTTCCTGCCTCAAGTCTTACCCTGTGTAGTCAGGTCACTGCCAAGTGAAACAGTTATCTCACTAGTGTTGTCCCAGTATGCACATGAGGCCCATGCTGTAGAGATGGGGAGGAAATGGCAGGGGGCTGAGGCCTGCCCAGGTACCTCCATCAGCACTCAGCTCTGCCCCTCTGGCATGCTCTAACTGGAAAAAGGGGAGCTGCACTCCAGTTTGCATCAGTTCTTTATTATAACCATATTGAATGGGATGGCTATGCCAAGATGCTAAATCATTTCCTAGGTCATGAGTTACAACATGAAGATGGATGAGAAACAAATGACAGGATATAAATGGCATCGCTGAGGTTCTAATATCAAATGAATTGTGACATTGAGAGTAAAGTTATGACCTTTCTCTCTAGCCTGGTTACATGAACTTGGAGTATTAACACTGAGATTGTGATTTGGCTTGTGAGAGGAAGCTGGCTTTCTGGCAGCTCCTCAGTTCTATTCTCTTGGTGCCATGGCTTCCTCAGTCCATCTGCTCTGGACATGGTAGGGGCCAGGTATGTCCTCAGGGGAGGACAGATAGAGCTGGTCTGGGCTAACAGGGCAGCCACTCAACACATGGGACATAAGTCCTCACTACACTTTTGTAATGACCCCCACACAGCAGTTTCTTAAATAATGAAAACAAAAGCCACAAATTTGGGTCACCTATGACAGCTTATCCTTGGAGGAGATTGTGTGTCAAGGAGTTTTCCCTTTGTTCTGACATCTCTGACAGAGTAAAGGCAGCACCCACCCCCTGTGTGGCTTCCTTAGGGCTATGAGGCCTGTGGCAAGACAGCTCAATTGTATGTGGAAAGACAAATCACAGGGAGATCTTGGTTTAGTTTTACAATCATGTTCATTCTGCTGTGTGGTTGTTTCTATTCAGATTGCAGTTAGCACTAAACTCAGCAGGAGGTTGTCTTTGTGAGGTTCATCCAGTATAATTAGAATCTTCAAGTGTTATGTGACCTCTTGGTATACACATTAAGATAAGGCAAATCATTATGACTCTCTAGTCTCTAATGCTCTTATTTAAAACATAGCTAAATTTTCTTTACTCTTCATATTTCCATTCTGATCAGAAAGGACTGCATGAAATATAAAGACATAAAAAAGTGTCAACTGGAGTTTATCTAAGCTTAAGATATATAAAATGTATTTAAATGTTAATAAAACGAGCAATTCCACTGATTACCACATTGTTAATGTTTCATATATTCAGGATTTTATGAATGTGCAATTGAGCTTAAGTACCTGATGAAATAATGAGGAACACATTATTTAATAGCACTATAACTAATACAAATGCGAACAATGCTTAACAAGAATGAAAAAGTCACACAGAAAAGAATACCTCAAGACTGTAATTGTGTCCTGGCTTCCTTCTTTTGAGAAGTTGGTGAGCTTACTGAGGCCACAGCAGCACACTTTGGAGCAGACCCACTCCTAGCATCCAAGCAGGGCTTGGGGTTTTACTGACTACTAAATGCCAAGGCCAAGGCAGAGGATCAGCCTAGTCTTCTTGGCCTGGTGAGTGGTCAGTGGCTCTTTTGTAGCCAGGGACATTCAGTTATGGCTCTCAGGATAAAGGAAGAGAGCATGTCAGTGGCCTAGCTATGAGACTGCCACTGTGGTCCTTTCTGGTCTTTGTCCTAAGACCTTGATGTGGGTCCTACTTCAGTACTGAGAACACCATCACTGTCTTAAGTCCTCTGTGAGAAAGCGGTCAATGGCAACCTCTCTCAGGCTCCCCCTGTATGTGAGGACTCAAGCTTAGGAAGTGTCTTCACAGGGATGTATGCTGGCAGAAACTTAGCAGTGCTGACAGGACCAGTCAGAATGAGGACCCAGAGAGCAAATTAGTGCAAAGGCACCAGTTGTCCACTGGCGGAAGGCCAGCCCACCTTGTTATCTGGGAAAACCAGATAGTTATTCAGCTTACGTGTTGATGTGGCAAGAGGAAATTTCTCTGTTACCATTGAAGAACAAATTGGAGAGTTAATTAGAATTCCCTGTGTGGTAGCTGACTCGAGAATCATCACCATTTTATTGGAGATGGAATGTGAACTCATGTCATTATCACACTTGTCTGCAGAGAACACATGGTTAGCAATGGGAGGGACAGTGTGCACTCCTTCATACTTCGCTTTTCACTTTAATATAAAGGTACCTGGAAAGCTGCCACTGCCCAGAGGCCTGTCACTTTCTGGGGAGAGGCACAGAGCCAGTTCCTCCTGCTATGGCTGCTTTTCTCTATGGCAGTGAACCAGGCCCTGCATCCATGTGCAGTCTCCACTGACCCCAGCAGGGAGCAGGAAGCAGACAGAAGAGAGGTGTTCTTTCCAAGGCCCTTCTTGGAGAAGAGAGGATGGCTCATGTAACAAATGCTGTGCCTGCTGTGGTTCCCTGAGCTACTCACTGCAGTGGAGTCTCTGCACAGCTCAGGAAGGACTGGCACAGCAGGCCTGGTCCTGACAGCTATGCTGGGGTGCAGAGTTTACAGCTGAGCGCAGGCTTGGAAGCTCCTTTACCAGCTCCAAAAAAGGGCAGGGCTGTGTAGGAATCCCATCCTCCTTGCACCTGGAATGTTCTCTAAAAGCCCTGTTCCCCACAGAGGGACTCCAGATATAGTTGCCTATCATAGCAACTTTACTCCGGATAAGAATGAGCATGGTTTTCCCTAAGCTTTTCTTCTTAGAGATAAATCTAGCTCTGTAACTAGAGAGACTTGGTCAGAAAATCAACTAAGTGAAATGTTTTTCCCCATTTAAAGTTAGGGTCACATTATTCAATTGTAAGATAGTAGTATTCCTGCAACTTTTGAAGTGAGTGCAGCAAAGACTGTCTTATAGTGACCATGTTTTCTGACCATGAAAGACTCTAAAAGATGCCAAACAGTTGCTTAAGCAGGAGCAGTGATCCAAAGTATACTAGTCTGAGGTTATAAAGGTTCCTTTAACCAATCAAAGAACCTAACACCACATTACACCTAAGTATGATTCTTAAGTCTAGAGCCTGCTGTTAAAGATCATAACTTTGAGAGGTTGGTAGGTAGTTCCAACCCTGAAATCTAGCCATTCTCATTTATTCTATTGTACCCGACTCTGCTATATGACTTTCCAAGGTAGGAATGGAAGCAAGCAGTTTTCCACAGAATAAGCTTTCTTGACATTAACCTGTCTTCCTGTGGCTGATGCTTTTGAAAGAGAAGTTTGAGACCAACTCCTTCCACTCTTCCTGAATGTAACTGATGGAGCTGTGGGACCTTCTTAGTTAGTGGAAGAAAATTGGTTTTGGTGGTGGTTTGGCCTTTTCTGATATTGAGTATGGTGCTGGGTACCTAACCCAGCTCTAATTCAAAGGAAGGAAGGGGCAAGGGGTGAGAGGTCCCCACAGAGGGACTCCCATCTACATTTCAGGGATTATAACTCTGTGCTCTGTGGCCTTACTTGCTTCTTTCTAGAGGGTCCCAACAGGCTTTACCAATGCCAAATGCATGCTGGGAAACAAGCATTGGTTTCAGCAGAGTCTCCACTGATGGAGCTTTGAGGCCACTGAGGTAGTGGCTGGGCCCCTGTTGTCAGATGTCCAGGGGGCTCACAATGGTGAAGCCAGAGTCCTTGCTGCTGTCATCGTCAGGGCTGGAGCTGGGGTTGCTGGAGGAAGCTGAGGCTGGACCCATCAGTGGGTCTGAGAACACCAGTGAGGAGTAGGCTGGGGCCTGGCTTTTCCCAGATGTGCTTCTAAGGGTGCGAAGAGCCTGGGCCTGGCCTGAGAAAGCACCCTTGGCACTGCCCCCATCATCTTCTTTGGAAACCAAGATGAAGTCATCTGAACTCCCTCCATCTGTGCGCACTGGTGTTTCTGAAGAAGCCTGTGAAGTACAGTCAGTAGAACAAGTTGGTGAAAGCAGAAGTTAGTAAAGGACTAAGCAGAGACTTTTTGAGCACTGGGGGAACACTGTCTAGCTGGGCCTCTGTGCCATATCCTTCCTTGGACATATGGTTTGGTTCCACTGCCCTGGGGGCCAGGTGTGTGGTATATGGCCAACAGCACCTAGTTAAGCCCCTGTTAAACTGAATGCTGGCTTCCTTCTGGCCAAACTGCAGAGGTGGCATCTATGATGCCAGGAGGCCGAGCCCAGGAACTAGCCATTGGCTGCAGTCATCATTCTTGCCAGTCTCATGTGGAGACCAAGTGCAAATCCCTTCTCCATAAGCTTTACTTCTCTAATCTTAAAGTATGGATAAAGAGTGTGTGATCCCAGTGCAGTGAGATGACATGTGAGGATGTGACTCTCACATTGGAGAAATTTTACCATCAACTCTGAAATGGCCTAATGCCACCACTGTGCATGCCAACTGCCTCATCTCTTTATCACAGCCAGCTTCATCGTGGGTGTGTATGTCAAGAGCTTCTGGAGCAATGGTGGTGCTAAGTAGTAGGTTCCGTAAGCAGGAAAGCTAAATATGACAGTTAATTGCAAAGTATAGTATTGCTGTGGTCTACAAAGCAACTGTAAGTGACTTTTTCACTTAAAGGAGTTAGCATTCATGGACACATGGAAAGGCCAAGGATATCTGTGGCCAGCTGGCAGGAAGCACACTTTATCAAATGATGGTATGCAGAGATGTTACAATCTCTGAGTCTGCCTGCTTGACCTGCTAGTGCAGAGGCCTGAAGTCAAGAGATGTATGGAGCCTCTTGGCTGGAAATGCCCCTTGGATCCTTGGGCCTCCTTGACTGGTTGGTCCAGGCAGTCCATGAGCTGTGTACAGAGCCTGGAAACTGCATGTCCTTGGTGACATGCTGGGCAAGTGGCTATGTAATGGCTCAGATACCTTCTACATCTGACATTGATGTATCTTCACAACACCTGCCTTAACACTGTAGTGGGTTCTGAGGTTCCCTGTCTCCTCTTGTGAACACATTCATTCACAAAGAGGAAGAAAAGCATATGGATTTCTGAAAGAAGACATGAGTGAAAATGGGACTGAGAGAACTGTTTTTTTTTTGGGGGGTGGGGTGGGGAAGAAACTAAACCTCATCCCATTCCTGTCCCTGGCATGTGATCTGAGGAGAGAACTGTGGTGGCATTGGGGAGTAGGGCTTCTCCCTGCTTCCGCATGCACACAAGGCAATGGAGTCTCAGGTTTGACTTCCTATTTCCAGAGCATGGGTACTTTGGTTCCATTACTATTATCCTGCACTTGATTCTCCTAACAGGTAGCTCTGTGGCTGGAAATAGAGGAAACTGTACTGTGAATCCTAGTGTTAGAGGAGATGCCATGATCAATTTACTCAACAAGACTTTTGAAGAGGGGAAATACATTCATAGCCTGTGACTTCCATCATATGCTAATTACCAGGCATGCTTCTCTTCAAGTAGGGCTATAGACTGGCTTAGACAAACAAAAATTACATGCCTAGAGGTCTCACACTTTTGTTCTTTTATGAACTTCCACATCCTGCCCGCTAACATCCCAGGTCAAGTGAACAAGCTTGGCCGGGGGACCTAGTAGCTTGACCAATATCACAAAGCAAACTAAAGATACTGTTTTGTACTGTCACACTATTTTCTAGATGCAAAGATGAATTCCTAAAGAATTTCCTTGACAGTCTTAACTACTTACTTCCATTTACACAATTTGCAGAAGTTTCATAATTTCCTACTTCAAACTTGAGCAATCAGAAAAGTTTAACTTGTCAGTCCTGCCTAAAATTGGCCAGCACTATTACAACATAAATCCCTTTAATAAACAGATCAAAATTTGGGACCCAAGTACATGTAAGGTAAGGTTTATGTTGATTTGGTTGACTGATGAATCCAGGGTCCAAAAAGTCCTACCTCCTACAGTGATGGACTTAGTTCATCAAAACTATCCTAGAGGTGTGTGTGAAGGGTGGGGTCTTGGAGTAACAACTATGTCACATCATAGTGGGGAGCAGGCACATAGATTAACTACAGAATAACCCTGTCACAGTCTGCGATGGGGAAGGGCACTGTCAGAACACTGAGCCATGTCCCCATGGTGAGAAACCTGGTGGTTCTGCACTAGGCTTCAGTGGCTAACCAAAACAGAGGTGATTCACACCTAAGTTAGGACTGAGCTGTGGCACAATCTGTTACTGACTTAATGTGAATACATCTAAGTATCTCAGGAGCTTGCCTGCCACCAACCCTTGGATCCCTATAAACGGAAGCTCATGAGACTCCTATAACCCTAGACACCAATTGCCTGCCAGAACAGGCCCTCAGAACATATCTGGCAGCACTCTCATTTGGAAGTCTTGGGATGGCACATATCTAGCTATCATTCATATGGCCAAAGCCCTTCCCCCCAACCCCCCACAGTGAGAAGGAAAAGTCAGCCCAAACCCTGGGATGCAGACTTCTGCAAAAAGAGGGTGGGTCAGGGATTCCTACCTGATATACCCCTGACCTCAACTTGTGAATCTAGTCCAGATCTTTGGGCTTATTAGCAACAGGATACACTTGATGTGTTTTGCATCTAGGATTTTCCTTATTTCCTCTGAAGAGAGCATTACTCCCCAAATTCTCCCTACCTTAGGAGCACTGTTTTTTAAACGAATGTAAAAGTATCATAAGGCCAGGTGCCAGTGGCTCATGCGCATAATCCTAACTACTCAGGAGGCTGAGATCTGAGGATAATGGTTCAAAGTCAGCCCTGGCAGAAAAGTCCTTGAGACGCCTATCTCCAATTAACCACCAGAAAACTGGAAGTGGTGCATATATATGGCTCAAATGGTAGAGCATTTGACTTGAGCTGAAGAGACAGGGCCTAGACCCAGAGTTCAAGCCCTATGATTGACCAAAAAAAAAAAAAGTATCATAGGGAAGGAGCTATAGCAGGAGTCCCTTAGATCCAGAGGGGCTGACTAAGCCTTGGAGACACATGCAAAGATGAAGGGTCTCTGCACTGCATCACAGTGATGCCCTGCCAGATAAGGTCTCAGAACATTTCCTCTGGTACATACATAGCTCAGACCAGATCATCTTGGGTATGTGAGTGCAGGGTCCTCTGGGAACAGTAGGAGAGACTAGTAAGTTTGTTAGCCATTAAGCAGGATTGTTTAGGGCTGAGCACCTATGCCAGTGGTGCAGAAACTGCTGCCTCTCATGAGGATTGGCTGACATCATTTCATGTTTTAGCTGAAGTTCTTTAGAAAAGACCATAAGGAACCAATTTAAACCATCCAGAGCTGCACAGCCCCTCTTCTTGGTGACCCAAACTTTGCTCCTGAGTTCTCTGCCCCAGAGGTGGTCCAGTCATTAAACATGTAAAATAGGAAGACGCAAGATCTTAAATTGTGCATGCTCTGGGATGTGGTTGCCTCCGCATGTGAAGTCTGTCCAGTGTGAATATGTGCAAGTAGCACCAGTGAAATCCCCTTGCTTCCTCTGTTCTGAGAAACTGTGCTTTGTGAGTGTAGCCCGCCCTATGCCCTTTATTGCTGCACACAGCCTTTTTTCACTCTCATTGCCTGGTTCTCCTTATTGACTGCACTCACCAAGAGCAAACCCACTGTGTTTGATTACAGGCTCCCTCATTTGTATTAACCAATATATGTCTAGGGTAGTCCTAGCAGAGGATCACAATAATTCACTAGCTATGTACATATGAGCATAAAATGATGCTAATCAAAAGGAACTCCAAGATCTGGAAACAAGAGTTGTTTTGTTTTTGAATGTACTGTGTGAAGTTATTTCTTTTTTCTCTTCTTTTTTTGTTTTCATTTGGTCTATCCCCTGTTACTGTTTTTAATTGTGGTACCTTGTGTCTTGTATGTACATTTATCTGATTTGGGGAAGGGAAGGGGAATAACGAAATGGTGAGACATAGGACAATGGGTGGACCGATGCAACAGCGACACTTACAAGACACTATGTTGAAAATGAATTTTACAGCTTGGGGGAAGGGAAGTTATGGGAGAGGGAAAGTGGGAGAAAACAAGGGTGGGGGTAACAATGTTCAACAAAAAATGTACTCGTTACCTTACCTTACTTATGTAACTGTAACCTCTCTGATATCACTCTTACAATTAAATAACATTTAAAAAAATACAGGAATGCCCAGGAATGCCATACTTTTAAATAAAACTGAATTAAAAATGGCTAGGTTTGCCAGGCACTGGTGGTTCATACCTATAATCCTAGTACTCAGGAGGCTGAGATCTGAGGATTGTGGTTCAAACCCAGCCCGGGCAGGAAAGTATGTGAGACTCTTATCTCCAATTAACCACTGGAAAACTGGAAGTGGCGCTCTGGTTCAAGTGGTAGAGCACTCGCCTTGAGCTGAAGAGCTCTGGGACAGCACTACATGGCAATTTCAAACAGTTTCACAAGGAGTTAATCAGAATTCTGTCTTCCAGCAAACACTCTTAAACTGAAAAAAAAAATCTTCATTCAAATACTATCCTGCTGTTTTATAAAAACACAAAAACAAATTACAAGGTCCTAGATGCTGTTAGACTTAAAGTGACTTGGAGAAGATTTTGTTTGACTTAAAATTCATTTTAAGAAATGAACTTTATAAGCTGACTTTATTTTGGTTGGTACTAGTCCTTGGGGTTTGAACTCAGGACCTAGGCACTGTCCCTAAGCTTTTTTTGCTCCAGGCTAGCACTCTACCACTTGAGCTACAGCTCCACTTGATGACTAACTGGAGATAGGAGTCTCATGAACTCCTGCTTTTCTGTCTTTGAACCACCATCCTCAGATCTCAGTCTCTAGTGTGAGCCATAGGTGCCTGGCAATGGCTATTTTTATATGGGTCTTTATAAAAGAAGTTTGTTGACTCTTGTATTGACATTAATGAGAAGTTCTTCCCCATGAAGACAAAATTTGACCAAAAAAACCAACAAAGCCAAAACCCAAGAAAGTTTCTAGCCAAGTGAAATCCACTAAGACAGCCTTAGGAAAATTTAGCATAGTACTTGTACTTCCTGTGCTAAAGGAATGGAGAGAGCAGCTGGGAGCAACTGACCAATAATGAAGGCAGAGGTTCACAGAATGAATAATAGTGCTCAGGCCCATTCTACTTCCCACAGGTTTATAGTCTCATTAATTAACTTGAATGATAATGACCTTCAGCACTGAGTGTATAAGCTGTATGGCTGAACATAGCCCCCTGCCTCGCTGTGTTACTTCACAGTTGAATAACCTGAAGTGCTTTAGTAGGGACTGTCTTTGAAGAACCATGGAGTTAATGTAACAGTGTTCATCAGAGCTCCTGCACCTGCTTGGTGGTCCCAGAAACTTGGTTGTCCTGGCCCTGTCCACTGGAGCAGTAGTGGTCATCTGCGATGGTGATCTGCTCATTCTCCTCAGCCTCCAGCTGGCTCTGGTTGAAACGCAGGGAACCTTTTAGAATATCTTTGATCTATTTTCAAAGACGAAAAAAGATGAATAAGTATTTAAAGGCTGGCTAAGTCTACACATTTAAAAGCAGACTTGTCATTGACCTTTACATTAATACAGGAGTCCCCTTATCCTCATTTGTTATCTGAACCCAACTGCAGTCTAAAAGTGTTAAAGGGAAATGGCAGAAATAATTCCTAAATTTTAAGCTGTGTGCTATTCTGAGTAGCTGTCCTATTCTTTCCTACCTAGGATATGAGTCATCCATGCTACAGACTATCCATTCTACACAGACTAGTGGCCGGATTACCAGAAGACATGGCAGGCTTGTATTCAAGTCACCCTATGTGGTAGCCAAACACTTCATTACAATTTTTATCCTGTGTACCTCACTTCATCTCATCACACAAGCTTTGTATCATATCACATCATCAGTATAAGACATTTTGAGAGAACACATTCAAATTTTTATTTTAGTTTGCTGTTATAATCAAGTTTATTGTTGTCAATCTGTGTTTCATTGATAGACCTTATTATACATATGGAAAACATAATATAGGGTTCAGTACTATCCTCCATGGTCTTAGATACCCATTGGTAGTCATTGGAATCTATTCCTTCCAGATAAGAGAGGACTTCTGAGTTGTGAATACTAATATGAATATTCTTCTAAGGAAGAAGTGATAAGGAAACTCAGGTTTATGAAAGCTGTGGACTTAACAATGAGCAAAGGAAATCTCAGGGTGTTAACAGATGGATGGGTGGCATCTTACACAGGGAGTCCCATATGCCTGCACAATGTCCTGATGCACAACCCCCTCTCCCCTCCACCAAGGAAGTGGTTCCACCCCATTTGGAGCTTTTCCGATCAGGCTAACATTTGTGAGAACGTACTCCTCATTGCCACCTAGATCTGCAAGTGTTATGTAGACTGGAGCCTTGAGACGAGAGTGAGGACTTTCTGAGCATGTATGGTTATGGGCTGTGCTCGAAGAACATTCATATACTTTTGGATAAATGATCAAACATGCTGTACCAACCATGCCAGCTCTGGATGAGGAGCAAACACAATGGATTTGATAAGGAAAAGGTGTGATATGAGAAATATAAAACCTGTTAGGCCTGAAAACTAGTCAAATATCATCAACTGATAGAAGGAACAAGAGGTTTAAGGAGATGGAGATTCAGGACAGACTCTGTTGGGCAGGGGGCACTGGCTCTAAAATAGTAAGTACTCTCTGCTCTAAGGTGCTCTCCTCAGAGCAGGCACCTAATGGTGTCACAGCAATACACATACCTGTTTTAATCCTGCCAGGGAAACCAGTATTTGATCTTCTTTTTCCAAATTTTCTTGTAATATTACCTCTTGAATACTTACTGAAAATAGAAGAATGACATTTTATAACTAATAGTCTGAATGGAAATTACACATCACCACATTGTAATTTTGGACAAATTTTGGAATTTCTCTACCAGATTTCACAACAACTACTCCTACTGAGGATGCACTGCAACCTGCAGGCAGAGGGGAACACTGAACAGGCGTGCTCAGGCTAGATGGGACTCACTTCCAATGAGACACTTGGATGCCTTTATCACCCATCCTGACTCCAGGAGGTAGCATGCCAGCCTGAGTTTCTTATACTGCTGCGAGTTCAGTGGTGTTATTTCACCCCTTACTAAAGATTCCTCCCAGGTGAATAAAATGTCTCTAAGGATCTGTAACAGTAAGCCACATTGCTATTTCAATGTACTAGTAATAAGCAGACAATTTTATGGTAGTCATTAAACCCGGTTGATCCATTAAACTTCCTTATCCCTCCACCACATCTTCCTCCTGCTGCAGGATGCCCAAAACCTAGGAGGGACTGTGGCTGAGATGGGATTCTTAAGAGAGCTCTGGGGGTCAAGAGTAAAAGCCCACTACCTTGGAGGTGTATGGGAGGCTGGGCTGGAAGGCACAAAGCACATTTTATTGATAGGCATACCATCTGAGAACTACCATCATAAATTCATATCTATCAACATCTTCTGCTTTTTTATTTTCTATTGTCTTTTTTTTAAAAATGCCTCCTTTATGTGTATTTATGTGCTATCCATTCCACAAAGTTGTCTCAGTGTCTGTCTGGCACTCATGGATTTCCACATAGTCCTATGGCCACCAGAGCTTCAGCACCTTTGCTCACTTAGTGAGCATTCTTATGCCTCTCCAAATCTTCCCAGCCAAGCTCTTCTTTTTTGCTCAAGTCCTGCTCTGGGTTGTCTCTTTAGAACAGTCTTCTTCCCTACCAACTAGGGAGCACCAAGTCACTTCTACCACAGCACTTGTCATCAATATCATCACAAGTATCTACTGCATTATTTGCTTCCCATCTCTCCTAATGGGATAGTTGGAGCTCAGGGCCGTGTTTCCAGACTTGGGATATATCTGGTGCATTACACATACACAATAAGAATATTTACTGAACATGTGAGAAAACACCGTTGGAACTTGCATGCCAAAACACTGCTACTCTAAACATGTTTGAGCATGACAGTTAAACCAACATTTTCAGTAAAAATAAATCCATAAACCATGCCAATAAGGCCTCTTAACTACAGAAAACAGCAGCTTTTATTTATTGAGAAAACTTGACTGGAGTTCTTGCCTAATAAAAAGTTGTGCTCTAAAACAGAAAGCAAGTTGAATGGGAATGGATTAATAGATATAATTAGAGAGCAACTGTTTTTGGTTTTCTTAAAAGCCTGTAACAATTTGTTCTCTCTCAATTAAAAAAAAACACACACCAGAAGCCACTCAAGACATTAACAATAACAAACTGCAGAAAACTGAAAAGAACTAGCTTTGTAGTACTGTCAGCAGATTGAGTGAGGCTGCTTTGCTTCTATGACCATTAGGGCTCCAAAGGCAGAAGAACTGTGAAGGTTGGAGGGTGAGGTAGAAGCACACAGTGGCTGAGTGGGTTGACAGGCAAAGGTTTCTGTTCACAATGAGCTTCAAGATGAGATCAGGTTTCCTAGCTCCCTGGGGTCTGCAGGGCTGGCTGGGAGTGGCTAGTAGGCTCTCTGAGGGGAAGCTCAGTCAAAAATGGTAGGCTGCATCAGAGCTTGGAGGGGTTTTTGAGGCCCAGGAATCTAATGGAGGGCTGGGTCCTGAGGCTGTACTCACTGGAAGGGGCCAGCAACAAGAGGAATTCGTACCCCCTGACTGGATTCTGCCTTGCCCTTTGATACTCTGTTGTGGAACATATTTTGAGGCAAAAGATTAGGCCAATTTTCAGGATCCTAGCCCTACAAAAGAAAGGGAACCACCCCTGGTCCAACCAGAAGCAAGGGTGTACTGGGAAGCTGGAACAACAGAAACCTGTTGTCTTTCATGTCAGGCCTGTGTGGGAACAAGGCTGTATGTCATGAAAATCACCTTCCCTGCAGAACTCTTGGAAAGGGATGACTAAGGTGTGAGGAAGTGGTCCCCTCTTGCCTTCCTACCAGCATTGTTAGTTTTATTCGGGGCATCAGTTTCTACAGCACTGTGGTCATGTGACACAAGTTTGGTCAATGGTATAAGAAGTCCCTAGTGAAGCATCTGGGAAAGCTGGCTAAGTTCCTGCCTCCCAGTCTTACTCTTAGTAGGTCAGCCTGAGCTGTGGGCAGGGCTCTCCAAGTTGTCTTGCAAGCAACAAGGTCATACTTGAGGTACTGGAATACTTTGTGGAGCCAGCATACCTGCATGGCCTATTTGTTGCTGCGCTTTTACTCAAAGGAAAAAGAAAAAAAACTGAAATTTTTTTTCCAGCTTTATATTATGAGCAGCTATATGATGAGCTTCCTAAGGCTGCTGTGACACGTGACATGTACTTTGTACTTTCTCATAGGCATGGGGATGAAAGTCCAAAGGGAAGGGCTTGGCAGAGTTCACTCTGGAGGTTCTTGGGAGGAATTCTTTCTTGACTTGTTCTAGCTTCTGGCATTTATTGTCTTACGGATTACACTAATCTCTGTGTCTATGGTCAACCATTTGAACGTCTGAATTTCAGAGGACTGTATCTACCAGGAAACATGGAAGGTTGGGAATATTTTTGCCCACAAATGTAAGTGTACATGTCTCAAGGGCATGGGGCTGAGTATATGAACAGTTATAATTGTGCCTGGATGATTTTAAGCTGTTTTCTTATGCTCAGTATATGTCCTGGGTCAGTAATATCAAGTCACTGGTGAGCCTGTTAGAAATGTTCAATTTCAGATCCTGTATTAGACATACTGAATCTGGTTCATTTTTAGGTGACATGTGCCTTTTTCTTCTAAAGAGTCAGTACTCTGCTACCCACAATTAAATCTGGTCTTGAATAGCAGTTCTTATCACAGGTTAATTGACCAAGAGCTGTCTGGTGATCACATTTTCTTCTCGTTTTGTCAAATATTTGTTAGCTACCTTAAAGAACATTCCCAAAGACATTCTCTGAAAATTGTTTTTATAAGTTATTGGAAAATATGATTTATAAAGTTCTTATAGAGATATATAAACTGATTTTCAAAACTAGCTAATTCTTTCAGCTAATTCTTCCATAAATATTATGACGTATTAAACCAATAATGATATAAGCAATCAACAACAGAAGAGTTGAAATCTCGCTACTGTGTCAAGTGTGCCCTTAAAAGAAACGTCAGTGAAAGATAGAAGCCCAGGGCTAGCCTGGGTTGATCTCTTGTGCTAGCTGGCTTGCTGTGCATTCAGCTTTCCTGTGCCTTGGTTTCCTCATCTGTCAAAGTCCGAGCAGCTGAAATGGCTAACAGGGCATTCACATCTCTAATATTCCAAGGTCCTATGACCCAGGGTACTCTCAACTAGATCACAGGAACCTAATTTCTATTGATGCGCTATAGATGTGTGTGGAAAGGCGAGCTGCTGGAACCCAACCAACTGCACCATCTCACTTCAGAGCCCAGCACCCACTACACACAGGTGGCAGCTTGGCTTGGCTGCGCAGGGATCAGGTAAGTGATGGCTGCTCACCCACGGGTAATTATGTGTGGAGTTTGGCAAATCTAAAAATAGCTGTAGCTCCGTCTCAGAGGTTAATATTGTCAGGATGACAAGAAGGGGAGTAGCTATAGCAACAGAAAAATGAACGGAAAAGTTTTCTAAAGTTGTGGGAAAATGTTTAAATTTAATAAAACAAGTACTATAAATTCTTGTCTTTGAATTTTTCATTTCAAATATTTTAATTAGGTGACAATCATAAAATTAGATTTTTTCACAGTTTTAACAAGATAAATACCCTCTCAGTACTTGGTTCCAGACCCGTGAGGAAATTCTGCTAACCTGTCAATTTTATTACCCTTATTATTAAAGTGCGTTTGAACAATGTTATGTAATTTTCCTCTTAGGAGAAAGTCTCCTATCAGTTATAAAAAGTTTTAACAGTACTTGACATTTTAAGATACATTTATTGCATGTGATGAAAACACAGGGTGGAAAGGCTTTCTCTTGAGGTGAACAGAGAAAATGATTGAAATAGCAGAGTCCAGAGAAATAACTCCTTGAATAAGGTTCGAGACTGTTCTATAGCCACACTGGCAGCCCGTGGCGGGGCACAGCGGAGGCTCAGAAATCCTCCTGTCATAAAGTTCTGATACACCAACTAGCACTCAGTCATTCTTAGAGCCAACATGTCAAAATGCCATCATCTTTCTTGCATGATTTGGTAAGTGAAATATACAAAAATGCAGCACTGGTCCTAGCTCCTCAACTGCTCAGAGCCACGAACAAAGGCTGGATGAGTTCTAGGTCTTCCTGGAGAAGACACAGTTAAAAGGTATCAGGAAAGAGATTTAAGTATATAAGGTTTTAGGTATATATTTTGCCAACAAACTGGCAAGAAGAATATTCTTATCTCTCTTGACCTGAGGATAAACATTAACTTAGTTGGGTCACAGAATCTGGATTCAACGCTATGGCTCTTTGATCTCCGGAGTTGTTGTCTCTGCTCAGACATCACTTCACTATTGTTAACTTGTCTGCTCTGTGCAGCTAGTTACATGCACTTAAGCTGGCCACAGATTTTCATTGAATGTTTTATATCTTCCAAGTACAGAAGACTAGGATCCTTGGAAAGTCCTTCTATAATCTTCTTTTTACCAAGCAACTGCTGTTAATGGTTATTTTCACATCAAATACCTACTACTCTTCGCTCTGCTTTTTTTTTGTCCCCTCCTTTTTTTTTTTTTTTTTGGTCGGTCGTGTGGCTTGAACTCTGGGCGTGGGCACTAATCCTCAGCTCTTCAGCTCAAGGAGAGTACTCTACCACTGAGCCACAGTGCCACTTCCAGTTTTCTGATGGTTAATTGCCGATATGAGTGTCATGGACTTTTCCTGCCTGGCTTGCTTTGAACTGCAATCCTCAGATCTCAGCCTCCTGAGTAGCTACGATTACAGGCGTGAGCCACCAACACCTGGCGGCTTTTTTTTTTTTTAAACTCAGAACTCCTTTCATCAACAACAAGTTTTAAATTTTTTATAAAGACTGAAATACTATATTGTACTCAATGTTATACTAATGAGGTTTTCAGACATTCTACTTTTGTTCTATTTTAATCTGAAATTTAAAAAAATACATGGGAAAAAACAAAAGGGAATCAAGAACTTCATCTGAATTAATTTATTGCCTACCACACAGGAGCATCCTTGAATAACAACTGTTACACTGATGAACTGAAATGCGTCTTTGGACCTTGAGGTTAGGGATTGGATTGCTGCAAACATCCACTGCCCCACTTTAAATCCAGGCATGCTTTTATATAGGGAAAAACAATTGGTAGCTATATGAAGAGACTGGCACAAAAACAAATCTAGTTTTGCATTTAGTTGAAAACTCACAGCTTGTATGGACTTTTTGTTCTTTAACCATTTTAATTAAAGTGTTTTCCCCTCCCCATGCAATGAGAAAATGTTCTTTGAGTGATGATTGAAAGACCAAAAGCTGCTTGAAAATTCTGAGGCTTAAGTAAAGCTGCTTCAAAAGCTGCTGTGGATATCAAACGGCTTGAAAATTTCCTAAAAGGATTTTCTAAAGTTCCAGTAAATCTTTCTCTTAATCATTTTTTTGCTTTCCTACTCTGGTCAAAACCAAAATCAAGTTATGCAAAGGTGACTGACACTTTAGTAGAAGTCAGAAAGCAAGAAATACACATATAGAAACACATATTTTAAAATTAAATTGCACTTAATTAGTCCATATAGAATATGGGTGCAAGTTGGCTTCTGCCTGTAATCCTAGTTACTCAGGAGGCTGAGATGTGAAGATCACAGCTTAAAGTCAGCCTCGACAGCAAGGTCAGTGAGACTCCTTTCTCCAGTTAATCACCAAAAAGCTGAAGATGGGGCAGTGGGTCCAGTGGCAGAGTGCTAGCCTTGAGCATAAAAGCTAAGGGAAAGCACCCAGGCTCTGGCACGCACACACACACACACACACACACACACGTGTGTATTTGTATATAAACTATCTCTTGCTTTTTATGCATTTTAAATATAGTCATATTAGAGAATATAAAATTTATATAAGCCTAGTGCTGCATGATTTTTTTTCTGGGGGTGGGGGGTCAGTCATGGGTCTTGAACTCTGGGCATGAGCGCTGTCCCTCAGCTAGCTCTTCAGCTCAAGGCAAGTGCCCTACCACTTGAGGTACAGTGCCACTTCCGGTTTTCTGGTGGTTTACTGGAGGTAAGAGTTTCATGTACTTTTCTGCCCGGGCTGGCTTTGAACTGTAATCCTCAGATCTCAGCCTCCTGAGTAGCTGGGATTACAGGCGTGTGCCCCCAGTGCCCAAATGATCACAAAGCAGCATGTAGACAACTTGAAAGGGGCAGAAGGAGTTTGATAAAAACAGAAGGCCACCCACCCTGCTGATCTCTACCAGGGTCTCTCCTGTTGTTTTCTTCTCTTGACCCTTTTCCTTGAAGGAGGGGCTGAGAGAGTGGAAGTAGAAAGGAGGGACCTAGCTAGGTGTTTATTAGTAAGACCCTGTAGGCCAGCCAGCCATTTAGATAAGCACCTGCCCACATGATTAAAAGAATGCTTGCGGTCAGTATGGTTTAGATTATACTCAAAAGATAGTCATGTTGGCCACTTACAATGGACTCTATAACCTAACAGGCTTACAGACTGCTTGATGGGGGTGGAAGGTCAAAAATTCATCTCCAGCAAGGCCCCTGAGATGGGCCACTCCCAAGGACCCTGCCAAGTGGGAAAGAACCTTGATGAATTTTCTTTAATTTCTCCTCAAAGGTGAGATGGATTCTGATTTCCTATAATACCTAGTGCTGCTATTTATTCATCTTAACAGAGCAACACTTGTGTTAATTTTCCTAATATGTTCCCACAAGAGTGGGCAAAAAAAAATGGATGTCTACAAGTGTGCTAAAAGTAAGTAATAGTGTATTCATATACTTGCTATTGCAAGCAGAACAGACTTCTGTAATAGAAACATGAGGCAGTACAGATCATTTCTAATATGAAGCATGGATGTTTCACAGATGTAGACTAGTACCTGAAGAATCTACAGTGTGCCATGTATGACTCACATGAAAACTGCTATGTTAAGAGTACAAGCACAGAGAAGAAAAGGGCCTATGACTAGAGCAAGTGGCTTAGAAACCTAGTTAAGATCATAAGACAGTATTACCAAAAGAATAATTCTATTAGTGACCACAGAGAGGTTAACATGGCACTGTAGCTGATTTTGAAAGCTCAACATTTCACTTTTGTTTGAGGTAGAGAAAATGTACAAAGGGTAATATAGCAGCTAGATACAAAATCAAGCAGATACTTCATTTTGAATTCCCATTCTACTTCCTAGACATACAATTTGGGGATCTGTTCTTAACTCTCTGAGCTTCAGTATCCTTATCTATGTGATGTGGATAACAATAGTACTTCTACTGTAGGGCTGCTGTAGGGATTCAGTGAGATGATTCATGTTAGCTTATTGCAAGAACTAGGACACTGTTATGCTACTGGCTGTCACTCTTACAACCATCATTATTCCCCGAACCTGTGCAGTTTACTCACCGAGATGTGTGTCCATCACCTTTGCGCAGTATTTGCACATGGCATCCAAATCATTCAGCTGCCCTTGAAGAAAGGAAATTTGGGCTTCTAATTCTTCTTCCTAAGATGATAAGGATAAAAATCATGAAATTAAAAAAAAATCCCCACAGTTCTCAGCATGGTCAATTTTTTTTTTGAACCAGGGTAGAACTCAGGGCCTCATTACTTTTGTTCAGCTTTCATGCTTACGGCCTTTGTTCTATCACATAAGCCATTACTCCAGCCTGGTGTTTTGCTGGTTATCTGAAGATAAGAGTCTTGATGGGGCTGGGAATGTGGCTCAGTGGTAGAGTGCTTGCCTGGCATGCATGAAGTCCTGGATTTGATTCCTCAGTACCATGTACACAGAAAAAGCTGGAAGTAGTGCTGTGGCTCACATGGTAGAGCGCTAGCCTTGAGGAAAATAAGCTCAGGGACAGTGCCCAGGCCCCGAGTCTGCAAGCCCCAGGACTGGGGGTGGGGGGTGGGGATGGGGAAGAGTCTTGATAATTTTTCTGGCCAGTCTTCAAACTATGATCCTCTACTTCTCAATTTCCTGAATACTTAGGATTATAGGTGGCAACTACTAGTGCCTAGCTGTTTGTCTTTTCAAACACAGTCAAAATAAGAAAACAGTAAATAAACAAAAATAAGCTCATCACTGCTATCATCAACAAAAATGGAGCTTAAAAGATCTGAAGTATTCTTAATTGAATTTGAGATGTGTGTCATGTGTAAATGTTTACATGTACAGTCTTGTATGAAAAGTACATAAGTATCCTCAATAAGTATTGAACAATGCAAACAATGCAGTAGGTCTTAAGATCAATATTTCCCAGGCAGCTGAGATACAGATATTCTGTTTGTCCTCACAAACTTGGGAAACCAAAAATCTCCATTTATATAAAACAACTCTCTTAATTTTATAGACAATGCTAATCTTTTAAAATGTGAGATTTCTCAAAACACTTAGAAAAGATTTTCCTCCACAGTCTGCAAGTAGCTGTTGTTATATTTCCTCTCTTGATATAACACTAGGGCATTTTGTTTCTTTCTAGAAAGAAGAACTCTGGTTAAGAATTACCTTGGTGGGGCTGGGAAGGTGGCTCAGTGGTAGAGCGCATGCCTTGCATGCATGAGGCCCTGGGTTCGATTCCTCAGCACCACATAAGCAAAAAGAAAAAAGCCGGAAGTGGCGCTGTGGCTCAAGTGGTAGAGCGCTAGCCTTGAGCTGAAGAGCTGAGGGACAGCGCCCAGGCCCAGAGTTCAGGCCCCACGACCGGAAAAAAAAAAAAAAAAAAAGAATTACCTTGGTGGCAAAAGACAACAAAAGTCTAATGAAACTGCAACTTTAAGAAAAAAAACTGTGGGAAAAAATTTTCCCAAGGAAATTTAGCAATTATGGGAAATTTTCCTCAGAGAAGGAGAAACATCCTCATCTTTTGGGATATTTTAAGCCCAGTCATCTGGAATAAAAAGAAAAGATGCTGCCAAGGTTGGCGTATGCTAGAAAATTGATTTTCTAGTCTTAGATACTTGTCCTTTCACATAAAAAACATGTCATAAACAAGAAGGGAAGAAAACTACTGAGGTATTTTTTAAATTGAATGTCTAATTTGTCTTGTACATGGAAATTAATGGTTGAAGAGGTTCCTTGTCAGTGTACTCCATTTTAACAATACACATCATAGCACTGAAAAGTACTTGTTATCAACTGCTGCCTGAAAAACTAGCTCTTAGGAAAATGCATTGAAAGGCTTGACACAAAAAAGAAGTAACAGAAGCTTGAAAACAACTGTTGTAAAACTTCCACTGTAGAATTGTACAAGCCCTAACCCTACAACATGCAGCAGCTTCTCCTCCTGTCCTTAAATAAACACAAAGAAACTATCCCCTTCCTAACATCAGTGGGTCTTAAAGCCAGAAGGAAGGGGCATTTCAGAATTTTCCTAATCTTTTTCTCCTTTCGTTTTCTGCACAGGCTTGAATTCCCCTGCTCTATGAGGAAACGATGTGAGTGAGAGAAAGAAGGCGACATCTATGGTTAACTATGGCTACTGTAATTGATTCCTTGCCTCCTTGGAGGTGCCTATTGCTCAACAGCAGCAAGATCAAACTGGGCCAATCTGGGGATCATTGAAGAAAACATTTTCAACTTCTTTTCCTACAGGAAGATAGCTATTGTACTATAAAGTAGTTCAGGCTAGAATATTGTAGAGGAGAGAAAAAGGCCATAGCAAAAGCACTGAAGATATAGGCAGGTGAATAGTAGGAATGTGAATAAAGTTTTCACTGGCCTACTTGGTTCAGCCCAATTGCATCCATGCAAGTCAGGGGCCCAGAGAAGGGGAGAAACAGCAGGAGTCCTGTTCAGACTCCTGGACTGCTAACCACAGACCCACAGGAACAAGGTAATTATGGAGTGGTATGCTAAGTAGCAGTAAATAGCTGAAATAGTAGCAGAGTGGAATGACAACTAAATTGGTAAATGGCATGGGAAACTGAAGTTCTTTCTCTTCCTGGTCCTCCATTCAAAAGTCACGTGAACTCCAGATATTCTCTCCCCATCTGACCGAAATTCAATATTCTGGAGAATGTAGTCAGTGGCTCTGTTCGCAGGAACTTACAAAGTGATAGAATAACAAAGTTAAATTAAGAATGTATGAGGTAAAGTGTATAAAATTCTCACAATGAAATAAGAGGCATCCTTATCCCAATCCTGGCCCTAATCTTGCCCCCTCTACTGAATAGGCCTTTTGTTTTTTTTCATTTGTTAGAGACACAAACCTAGCCTGAATTTAGGACTTGTGTATTCTCTTTGCATGTGGCTACCAACTAGGCTGCTGACAGCCCAGATTGGGCAAAGGGCAGTAGGAAAGCAGTGCTTCTTTTATTTTTTATTTTTTATTAAGCAGTGCATCTTAGTTTTAAAAACATCTGTTTGGGAAGGAATAGGAAAAACTCTAGGGCTACGTGGCATAGGCTGAAACTTTCTTAATAAAGACTCAGAAACACAACAAATCAAAGAAAGGTTGGATAAATGGGATTGCATGAAACTTCAGAGCTTCTGTATGGCAAAGGACATAAAAAGCAAGATCAATAGAAAGCATATGGATTGGGAGAAGATCTTCACTAGCCATGCAATGGACAAGGGTCTCATATCTAAAATATACTTAGAACTTTAAAAATTAAATCCCCCAACAACAAATCTTCAACGAAACAACTGCCTGATGAATAAGTGGGCTAAAGACTTAAAGAGAAACTTCTCTGAAGAGGAAATAAGAATGGCCAATAGACACATGAAGAAATGTTCAACTTCTCTAGTCATAAAAGAAATGTAAATCAAAACAACATTGATATTCCACCTTACCTCAGTTAGAATGGCTATAATCAAGAACTCTAATAACAGATGCTGGAGGGGATGTGGCCAAAAGGAAACCCTACTGCATTGTTGGTGGGAATGTAAACTTGTTCAACCACTTTGGAAAGCAGTATGGAGGTTCCTCAAAAGACTCCACATAGAGCTCCCCTGTGAGCAAGTAATCCCACTTTTAGTCATTTACGCAAACAATCACAAACAAGGTCATGCTAAAGTTACCAGTAAAACTATGTTTATTGCAGCATTATTCACCATAACTAAGATGTGGAACCAACCCAGATGCACCTCAGTAGATGAATGCATCAAGAAAATGTGACACACACACAAAATGGAATTCTATGCCTCCATCAGAAAGAATGACATTGCCCCATTTGTTACGAAATGGAAAGACTTAGAAAAAATTATACTAAGTGAAGCTAGCCAGACTAAAAGAAACATAGGTCCCATGGTTTCCCTTATCTGCAATAACTAGTATATGTCTAGGACAAACTTGATAAAGTCAAAAGCCATGTACATATGACTATATATCCTGATGCTAAGCGAAATGAACCCCAAGATAGGGACACAAGAGATTTTATCTTTCTTGTTGTTCTTTTTAATGTACTTATAATAATATCCTATGTGATTTTTTTGTTTCTTTGTATGTTCTTCCCCCATGGTACAACCCATTGTCACTGTATTTGATTCCAGTGTCCTGCATTTTGAATATACATTTTTCTAGTTTGGGGAGGGGAAGAGAAATAACAAAATGCTGAAATGGGGATACAGGATGACCCATTGTAACAATGAGATGTAGGGGTGGGGAGGAGGGAGGAGTTGGGGAAAATAAAGGAGAGGGCAACAATGCTCGATAGGAAATGGACTGATTACCTTGCTCATGTAACTGTAACCCCTCTGTTCAGTATCTTTACAATAAAAATATATATTTAAAAAAACCCTGTTTGCTTGAGGCATTAGTTTACTTTGGATAAGCAACCACTTCTTTGAAATACAAAAGACTTCTGGAGTTTTAATCCCTATCAGTCATTCCTGCCTAAAGGGATTTATTCTTTTCTGGAGTTGGGAGGGAAGTTAAAAGGACACATTTTAGGAAGTTAAGTGTGGCATGCTAAGCTTGAGACACTGTCAAACTGGAGTGGGTCTTTATCTCACAGGGTTGTCTTCAGCAAACACTGCTGCTCTATCTGAAACATTATTCTGCTAGATTGTGGTGAGGTAACTGGGGCCTTTAGAGTAGGTGGTGTGTGTGGGTGTTAAGTGATTAGAGGACACAGCAGCTTGGGACGCTTTCTGGGTAAATGTGCATGGATATGAGAACATAAATTTCCAAGCTTGCACTTTTGCTTAGGACTCTGGAGGTAACAGTTAAAGAGTATCTTGTAAGTCTAAAACTCAAGTGAATCTCAATACAAACCAAATCTTCATAGAAACACTGAAAGTTCACTATAGAAAAAAGGAACTTTTGTCATTTATTGTATTCATTTTCAGAAGATAACCTTGTACAAACAAACACTAGATGCATGCATGAGAAAGAGGCTTCTCTGGTTGAAGCAGGTGGAAGGGCCAAGAACCTTTTCCATTTGGAAATATGACAACCAGTGCATCATCCCTCTAGAGGCTGCTTAATTTAAAAACATTCCGAAACCCTTCAACTATCACTTAGACTTTACAAATAGAAAAGCAGTCATTTGGAGGCAAAAGAG